TCGTTACAGATTTGTTAAATAAAACTTTCGTTTCAAAGTATTCGCAATTTATTTTTAAAGTGTAGGAAATTCATATTTTGTTGTTATACAAATTATGCATTTAAAAGGACTGAATTAGTGTTGATCACAGAGTTTCTTTACAATTGAAAATAAATGATAGGCACTGTGAGATCTTTCTTCCTTTTAGATTTTTCTGCTCTGTTTTGTCCATTGAGTTGGGGGTGCAACGAAAGGCCATAATTTTGACCCTGTCATCATTTGGACCTTCTTCTGCACCAATATACCCTGGAAAAAAAATTTATGATGAAATTCATAACGATTAATTGATCTCCAAAATAAGTAAAAGTTTCAGTTTACTTTTTGTGAGATTTGAACTTTTAAGCGTGCGTTTTTAGTGTACTGTAATAATATTCTGTCATTTTTCTTAACCATAAGAAATATGGTTATCTATACTTTATTCATTTTGTGTATAATGTGATTAAAAATACTGTCTCTTCGTCTCCAACACTATGTCTCTGTCACTGTGTCTCAGCCAGTGCGTCTCTGATACTGTCTGTCATTGTGCCTCTGTCTCCATGTCTGTCTCCGTGTCTTTGTCATTGTGTCTCTGCCACTGTGTCCCTGTCACCGTGTCTCAGTCTCCGTGACTCTCTCACAGTGTATCTGTCCTCTTGTCTCTTTCACCGTGTCTCTTTCACCGTGTCTCTTTCGCCGTGTCTCTGTCAACGTGTTTCTGTTACCGTGTCTGTGCCACTGTATTTCTAATACTGTCTGTTACGTTGTTTCTGATACTGTGTGTCTGTCATTGTATGTGTTCGTGAGACTCCCACCCTGTGTTCGGACCCTGACTGTCTGCTTGCCCCTCTCTCTCGCTCTCTCTCTCTCTCTCTCTCTCTCTCTCTCTCTCTCTCTTTCTCCTCTCTATTCTCTTCCGAGTTTACAACTGAAATAGGCGTTTTGGGGTTTCCTGTTACCGAAAATGTATACTTGTTTTTCAGAACGTCCGTCTATCCATCTTTCTGACCGTCCGTCCTTTCTTTCTCCCTCTGTGAACAACATTCGCGTATAAACTACTCGTGGTGAGTTTTTTTCAAAAATGAATATTTCCCGGTCGATCAGGCCAACGTAAATTTCATCAATTTTGAAAATCATTTTTTAAAATTTGGGGGTCGTCCCTGGGCAACTTTCAAAATTTTGTTAAAAACGACTTCAATTTGTTTCCTAAATTTCTTGCAATAATGGTGTGAAATACATTTATAAAGATCGCATAGATCCGATTTTCACTGTTAACACTGAAGTTGGGGAATTACATAAGTTTGAATGTTTTTCGGAGTCTTTCTAAAACTACAATTTTGAATATACCGATTATTTAATGAATTTCTTCTCCACAATTAGTTATTTAACAAATGTCATATACATTTCTGAGAAATTGTTCTACTTACTGGGAGGAGAACTTTTCCCCTCTTCCTGAGAAACATTCACTGAAGGTTAGTTATCAGCAGCTTTTATGTTAATCGGGAGTGTACTAAAATTTTGTGCAGCCCTATAGTATACTATGGTAGGATCTTTGAGGATTTGCTAGATTTGATAGGTCCCCAAATGGTCAAAATTTGATAGGTGACAATTATGTACATATTATTGCTCAACCAATATTATGATTTAATTAAAAGTAATAAATTAGTCCTAGAGTGCCATTACGGTTAGTATTTCATATTTAATTTAGTACTTATTACAAGAATAAAGTTTTAATATCCTTGCGGGACGCTTTTGTAAAAACATAATGGCGTCCGCATACGAGCGTTGCGTTGACGCGCGTCGTAGAATAACACTACTTGTATCTTATGCGATACTGCACATGAAAGCTTTGGCCGTTCCGCCCAAGACATACGCCAGCCGCTAAAGCCTACGCCGCGCGTCAACGCAACGCTCGTGTGATACAGAACTTACTCTATCAATATGTTTGTGTTGTACATCATTCCACTGTCATAATATAGAGGAAAGTGATTTCTACCTTAATAAGTTGATTAAAGTGTATTTGTTTGAAGATATGTGGTAATGAATCGTAGGAGAAATATATGGGAGATAATTTTACTATACAAGTGTATCCACAAGTTTATTATAAATCGTTTTGATCAATGAATATACCCAAAAACTTAAAACAGACTGCATCCACTTCCACCTCAATGTTATTATGAGAGTAATTACGAAAACAGTTATTCTACAACTAAGAATTTACATTAAACTACTTTTTTAATTACATGTTGACACGTCACTGCCCATGTTCGCTTCATGCATGAAGGGCAGTTCACATTTCTTTCCTGGTACGGGAAGGTTGCAGGCTCTACTCCTGCGAAAGTCACAATCGTCACAAAAAAGAAGCCAAGTTCGAGTGCCTCTTTTGCAAAACAAACTTTTCTTCACTCGCAAAGAAAAGCATAATCAAAACGAAAAGGTTCCTCCTCTCGGGCTTCGAGCGCGGACAATGGTCGGGAGGGCGTGCATGATCGTGGCCAGGCGTCCGCGGCGGCGGTGGCGACATAGTGTCAAGGCGCGGCAGGCGCGCGGCGTCTGTCCAGGAGTTACTCTAAAGCTGGCTTTACACTTGCAAGAAAATGGTGAGCAATATTATTTCGCAAGAAAAGTCGCCAATGTAAACATTGCGGCAATACATGTTTCTGATGTTGGCAATATTTATTGCCAGATATTCCGGTCGTTATGTAAACTCGTGTGTTTCCATCCTCGGAAAGATATTGCCGGCTGTTGCTGGGACTAGAATTGGAATGAAGAACGAGTAAGATATTGCTGGAAGAAGCAAATGATGACCACGATCACATTCGCAGGAAGAATGTACGGTAGTACATGGACGTAATATTTCCATTTTAATATGCATTTATTACATAAAATGGGTGTGTGGAAAAGGTTTACGACAGTAAAAGTAGTAATAAATATTCCCTCTATGCTTGATTATCAAAGGTTCAAATTTTGGTTCAGCTATAGATGCGCCCTGATTATTAATTTTTTACGTTAAAATTATTAAGATCTTAATCTAATCTAAATCAATTTTAAGATCAATTTTACTCTATAATATGTCAGTAGCAGGAAATGGATATTTCAAAACTTTTTATCAAATTAGTAATTATACTTTTTATTAAAAGACAATTACGTTGTTCCTACGGGAATCGAAAGCCACGAAACAATGTTTTATGAAAAATATTCAGACACTTCTACCGAATTCGCACAAACTCCCTTTTCCTTTCCTCTTAAAATTCAGTCACACGTCCTCACAAATCGTCGCCGTCACTTCATCTCATTAAACACCATAAGTTCGATTGCAACTCGCATCTTTTGCCTTCCACTAGTTATGTCGGGAAGAGAGGTATAACTTCACTTAATTTCATGCGCCATTTTCCTCGCGCCTTCACCAAACACGGCAACAAATAGTCCTAATGTAAAATCTTACTCGGATCTTTCTGACAATATATTGCCCCTTCTTGCTCTTGCTAGTGTAAAGATGACCGCAAGAAGCAGAAACAAATTGCTGAAAGATATTGCGGAAACGTATTGCTAATGTAAGGCCAGCCTAAGAAGGAAGCAGTTTGACAAATTGGGAAACAAGTGACTGTCGTGCAGGAAGAATACAATGCAAGAGGCAGTGATGGACCCATTTACAAATGAGCTAACTGTAAACGAACGCACTGATAAAATGAGAGCAAGGACATATCCAGTGCCGTGTTAACGCACGGGACCGAACGACAGCGGCCCAGGGTCCCCGATAGTTCTTAAAACATATTATCCAATACTAACGTTTTCAAAAAATAAAATAAAGAAACGTATAAAAAGTAATATGTGATTAAACTATACGCAAAAATTGTCATAATGGAGTGAGGTGTCCCGCATCATTGGTTATTATTTTATAATATGGGATGTTGCTGGTTGTACTGGTTGATACATTTCAATTTTATATTTTGCAATTCAATAAAAAATTAACAATTTTATTTGTATTATTTTTCAATATAATTATAAATCTGTTATATTTACTTATACATATATGTTTAAAACTTTTGCTTCAACAATGTTAAATTGAAACACTAAGAAATACTTTCATTTTCTTAAATACAAAACACAATGCGAATTGACAGGATTTTCTTTAAGATGTTTTAGTAGGTTGCCGCAGCCGGAGTCATTTGATACTTGGCTGACCGGAGTGAGCCGCGTCACAGTCGATCGAGCTGAGTTTTCAGCCATCGCACCAGCAGCTCTGAAAAAGGCCACAACACGATGGCCGAAACGTCAGCTCGATCGACTGAGAAGCGGCTCATACCGGACAGCCACGTATCCAGAATTTTCTTTATATCTCAGCTTCAAAATTGGGGATCGGTAAAAGTAGGAATATGGGGCCCCCAAATTAACCTAGGCCCAAGGGGCCCTAATGCTGTTAAAACGGCCCTGGACGTAATCTGTCATGTTGCCAACAGTAACCAAGAAGAAGCTCTCCCTCATAATAATCCCTCTGTAGCTGCTGTGGACGCATAGCGGATGAAAGCCGGGCGAGGGTACGTCCAGGTGTCACGGGCGGTGCGGCAGCGGGCGTGTGTTCTGCAGGATCGTTGCGAAAGTTACACGTTTTCCTCCCAGCCTGACGTCGCAACTGCCTCGCCCTTCGCACTGCCCCTACTTGCCTCCCCGCCGCCCCACCCCACTACAGTACCCCTCCGCAGCCCTTTTCACCTCACCTTCCGCCGCCGGCGACCCGAACGCTCCCGTCTGATACGACACTCAGTGACTTTTTAGTATTTAGAACTGAAGTTTGAAATGGTGCATGAACTCTTCGTGGAAAAAGATGAATATCAAAATGAAGCATTTTTACAGCATGTTCCTTCGCTTTTTCTACATCTAATAACTATTTAGAAGCTTATTATTGCATGGATTTATACAAAAGAAAAAGTGTGTTGTGTCCACATTTACATACTTCAAAATTGATAAAGAATTTCTGTTGTGCAGACTTGACCATTAGGATGCCAATATAACTGGAGGGATCAAAAGAATGTCATCTCAATTATTCAGATATATAGAGGAAGAAAAGGATTTTGCAGCTACTTTGTAAATATGGAGTGAGAATGGCACTGTCTATTAAAGATTTTTTGGCTGGTTGGGGAGCTGGTGTGTGTGGATTATTAGTGGGCCATCCTGCTGACACTGTGAAGGTGAGACAACAAGTTTCAAGAAGAGCAGATATATTTAAAATTTTAATTAAAACAGTGAAGCATGAAGGAGTTCTAGGCCTCTACCGAGGAATGTCATTTCCTCTTTTACTGGCAGGTGTACAAAATTCCGTGTTTTTTGGTGTGTATGGAAACACCTTAAGAATTCTACAAAATGTTCAAGGTGCAGATATGAACAGAAAATCATGTGGTGAAGGAGTTACACCCAATAAATACTGGCACATCAATGTTTATGTTGCTGGTTTCACAGCAGGTTTTATTCATGCATTTTTGGCATGCCCTGTAGATCTCATAAAAATTAAAATTCAAACAAAGCATGTTCTTGATAAAAATTCCTCCTACCGAGTCAAGGAGTGCATCAAAAATATTTCTAAACATTCAGGAATACTTGGTTTCTATCAGGGATTTCTTGCTACACTTGTCAGAGATGTACCAATAAGTGGTGCTTATGTTTTGCTGTATGAACATCTTTTAAATATTGGCCGTGATTCAAAGGACAGAAATAGTGAGTATTCTGTAATAAGCCAACTTATTTCAGGAGGATTAGCAGGTACCATCACTTGGGTTGCTGTGACACCTTTAGATGTATTGAAATCACGAATTCAGGCAGATGATATTGCTAATCGGAAATATAAAGGAATGCTCGACTGTGTCATTAAAAGTTACAAAGAAAATGGCTTACATGTGTTTGGAAGAGGATTTTGGATGCACATTATAAGAGGATTTCCTGTTAATGCAGCAACATTCGTTGGATATGAGTGGTGTTTAAAAATGTACACAATATTAGAATAAATAATTTTAATTAAATTTATTAAAAGTATTTATTACTTTTATTTCATACTCCCCTGTTCCAAAAATTAATTGGTGAACGATTTCAATTACTGAGGAGATAGCAGTGAAAAATATTTGTATATACTAACTGTATCAGAAATAGATTTGTGTAAAGGAATAAACACTAATATAAGTTATTCAGCATTATTGAATAATAATTCTATGAGTTGCCTATGCTGATTAAAAGTCATTTTGCTAATCATACAATGATTGGGATGCACAACACACCATATAATACCTAGCACCAACAGTGGCGGTGTGTGGCATAACTAGCAGGTGGTTGCAGATATGACCTATAAAATTGACATTCTGATAGGAAACTCCTAATCAGCTAATGCAGCTTGTACCACAAATTAACAATTAACACGAATGAAACAACACAAATTGAAAATCAATAAAGATCTTTCTTATAATAACATAGGAATAATGATTTGTATCTTTCTTAATACATTATAAGTCAAAAACATCTCGCTTAAAAATTGTAAATATCTAAAGAAGTTATAGAACAGGGAGTTGTACAAATGAACTCTGTGAAGGCTCGGGCAGAGAAATTATATATTATTCTGTGGAGTATTTTATTGTTGATCAATGTAGACTTAATGAATGTAAAGAATATTCTGTCACCAAGCACTGAATTGATTGCAAAATCTACTCCAAAATAATCATTGATATTCTCAGTCTCTTACAGTTAATAAATTATCCATTTCTTCTCCCTGGCAAATTACTAATAAAAATTGTTTTTATTCAAAATTACTTAAATTAGAAAGATTTTGCAGAAAACTTTTTTCCAAAACTCCTAGTCATAGAACTGCATGAAACATGGATTATAACACAATTACAGACAGCAAGGAAATGTTTTCCTGCTTCTCTCCTGTCTGTTTCTGGTCATCAACAATAATCATTAACTCAATAATTATTTTATCTCACTAATTTTCTGGAGAAAATATGGAGCATCTAAAATGTTTCGACAGTCAACTTCGCAACCCTTTTGCCATCTGTCCTCAACTCCCGACCCTTGGTGAAACACATTAACCCACATTGCATGTGCAATGAAAGTACCTATTCGATTTGATTTATAAGCTCTGAGAGAATTTGATTTCATTTATTTTCATCAAAAAATAGTAGAATCTGTATACGACTGGTGCTTTGAAACCTTTGACTTGAATTCACGTTTTGCCACGGATTGTTATTGTCATTTTATTGCACGTTCTACAAGAACGCATACTCCTTCCCTGTGGAAAATTCTCAGAGAGATCACATTTGCTTATTGATTGCTTGGGTTTTAGTTCCGAACATAAGTACCTACTGTTAGGAAGTCATCTTCAAAGATAAGACATGCATGGGATTTCTTCAGTGAAACATTATCACTTGAGCCAAACGGTCACAATCCAAATGCTGTGAAGATAATCCCAGATCACAAAGTTTTCTCATGCAGCACTGCTTCTCTCACACCCATGATGCAGAATCAGATAAGATCCCTCCAAGAAATGATGGAAGAAGTTGTACAGATTGTACTTCTCCCAAACACAGTTTTTAACTGTTTTTGACATTAAAAATGTTCTTAAAAGCAAAAGGGGGATCTGTTTTCTATTATTCTTATAATATAATTGTTTAAATAGATTTCCAATAATTAAGAATAATTATTAGTTATACAAATATTTTTAAATGTTTATACCTTTCTAGGAACATGCATTTAAACATTTTACTTAATTGTAGCATTTCAGCACAGCTCAGATTATAGAGGAAGGTCACTTGTTCCTCTAAATAATGTCAGCACTTGCAGTGAGGGATTAGCTCTAACACATGGCTTTTCGTTGCATCTTAAATTGCTAGGTGAATTGGCACAACTAATAAAGTAAATAGTTTGCATGAATGGTATTTGATTACTGCTTTGATGTGTGCAGTAAGAAATACATTAATTCCAAACAAGTCCTACTCTATTTTTCAGTTAAATGTGATTTTTTGACACTATGGTCCTAGAAAACGGGAAGTAATTTTTGGGAAATGCTTGTATATCAAAAGTTATTGGGTGACGTTTCATTGTTCGCATCTAACACATGGCTGCTTTGGAAGTAATTGTTGGGAAAGGAAATTTTGCATGAACAGTTTAAAATGTTTCATGAATAGTTAAAAATGTTCTATGAACCTACTGTTTGTTGAAAGTAAAAGCTAAAATAGTTCATATCTTTTTTTACAAAACTTAACTTTCCGGGTTAAAATGAATGCCTCTTATGTTATTCATAATCAAACAATTTACAACCACAGATGATAATGCTTTTTGTGAACATGCATTACAAAATAGAGGGAAATGATCTTTACCAGGGTCACAATCATTTTGGTATCTTACATTGCAACCGTCACTATATAACTTTACTGGGTGGAAAGCTAAAGGATTAATTGAGTATGAGGGAAGCAGAAATAATACAACAAAAGATAGTTATGTAGGTTTAACCACGTTTCAAAACTGATAAAAAATTTTTGTTATGCAGACTCAACTTCTAGAACCATCGGATTGTGGCTGTTCCTTGTAGGTTCCCGAGAACAATCATAGGAAGTATTCATAATCTCCAAGGAAAGAAAAAAAATCATAAGAGATAATGAATAAATAATGTCACAATGACATTGACCTTTAAAGATTTCATTGCTGGCTGGGGAGCTGGTGTATGTGGAATACTAGTAGGTCATCCCGCAGATACTGTGAAGGTGAGGCAACAAGTCTTGAGAAGAGCAGGTATTTTCAAAATATTAATAAAAACAGTGAAAAATGAAGGTGTATTGGGTCTGTACCGAGGAATGTCATTCCCTCTTTTACTTGCTGGAGTGCAAAATTCAGTGTTTTTTGGTGTGTATGGAAACACACTGAGAGTTTTACAAAATGTTCAAGGTGCAGATGTTAACCGAAGATCATGTGGTGAAGGATCACGTCCCAATAGACATTGGCATATAAATGTTTATTTTGCAGGGTTTATTGCAGGATTTGTTCATACTTTTCTAGCATGCCCTGTAGAGCTAATAAAAATAAAAATTCAAGCATCAGGTGATCTTACAAAGGATGAAAGACACCGTATGAAGGAATGCATCAGAAAAATTTATCAACATTCTGGACTTCGTGGCTTTTATCGTGGATTTGTAGCTACCCTTTACAGAGATGTTCCATCATATGGATTGTATGTTTTATTCTATGAACATCTTTTAAAAATTGGGCGTGATCCCAGTGACAGAAGAAGTGAATATTCTATATTCCAACAACTTTTTGCAGGAGGTTTAGCAGGAACCATTACATGGGTTTCTGTAACCCCCTTTGATGTACTCAAATCACGAATACAGGCAGATGATGTCATCAGGCCCAAATATAAAGGATTAACGGATTGTATAATAAAAAGTTATAAAGCAGATGGATTTCATGTGTTTGGAAGAGGATTTTGGGTTCATGTAATAAGAGGATTTCCTGTAAATGCTGCCACATTTGTTGGTTATGAGTGGTGCCTAAAAGTGTATAAGCATTTAGAATAAAAAATTATTCAGAAACTGAATTTTCTTTCCCAATATTTGTTAACTGTAAAGTGTGTGGGTTGTTAAAATATTTCTTTTATTTTATTTTTTTATTGAAATTTAATAAGAACAAATCATTAGGTGAATAATGTTTTTATTTTAGACCGTCAACCTTTTTGGGTCAATAAAAAGCTGAAATTCAGCTTCAGTATTGCATTCATTTCCAAACCGGTATATTATAGTTTGGTAAATTTTGGTGGTGGTATGGGATTACTGAATGTGAATGGGACCCAAACAGTACTAGTTCAGGTTTCGTTATTGAAACACCAATATTATTAACCTGTAACTGGTGGTAGCTGTTAGTACTCCAGCCTTTGAAAGATACCACACCTACGGAAAGAAGCCTATGCTTCTGGGTACCTCTCAGGAAGTCAGTTGCTCTGTGTACTCAGTGGTGATCACATTTTTTAAGGAGAACAGAAACTAGTTAATTTATTTGTTCTGGCTCCTGGGGTGTAATCAATTCACACCTTACTGATTACATAATTATTTACTGAAATACATACATATCCATACACACACAGCAAGATATATGTTAATAAATAATACAAATTAAATTGAGTATGATCACTAAGTATATTATAATTTTCATGTGAGAAATTAATAAAATATTTCAGGAAATGCTAAATACATTGCTTATCATTCTAATTCAGTGAACTTAACCTATAAGTAGAGACGGAATATGTGCAAGCGTTAAAAAAAAAATTAATGATGTTCTATTTTGCTTGTTCTAAAATATGCATGGCAAATTGAGATTTATGCCAAATTACGTGCAAACATGCAGGAAATGAAACTTTAGGAAATATGGATTAAAAATTAAAACAAGTGTATAAATGATTTTCATAGAGTACATTTATTATTAAATTCTACATTTAATGATGATTTACTTGTGAATGTCTTCATCACACAGTATTTGCAAAACATTTTACCACATGTTTTTCAAAATTTTAAAGCACAAAATTACTTCTCTTTCTGTATTTATTGATTAAATTTGGTCAAAGAATTAGTTGCCCTGATTCTTTCAACAAATTCAATTAATAAAAATGCATTGTTACTCAGTAAAATATTTTGAAATAGCTGAACTTTTGCTACTTTCTTCAATGACTGAATTGATAACTGCCACGGAGCCAATTTATCTGGGAATTGGCAAATTTCCTTGGGTACACGGAGCCCCGTGACGATTTAAAATTACACGCCACCTGGTTCCGTTGACCCAAAGAAGACAACCACAACAATGACAGGTTTTCTTGTAATTAGCATCAAAGCCAATATTAAAAATTACAATTAATTTTTAAAATTTTTTAAATCTGTTTGTTTTCTTATTTGTGTGGGGGACAACTTGTGAAATTAAATGGAAAATTTGATTATCAAAACATGGCTAAGTTATTATGTGAATTTTGAATTTTTAAAAATGAAATTGTGTTTTACCTACTGGTGATGCCTCCAAAATTAATATAATCTTGTTTAAATCAAATTTATATGAGACTTGCATAAATGTATACAAGTTTTATAAATTCAACTTTATTTTATTATAATTTTTGTACTTCTTTGCATATACCCTATAGCCAGGGGCCACCTCCAGAATTGAAAATTGCATATTTTCATTGCAATTATTTAGGCCTATAACTTTATTTCTTTCCATATATAACTTACATCTTAAACATTTCATGTTACATAATTTGACAATATTATATAGTGCAAGTTAACTAGAAGTTTTCAAAAAACTTGCATAGTCAAAAATCACTTTAATTACATAAGAATTAAGAGAAATTATAAAATGACTAGTCAAAGTCTGGAAAAAATTCTGAATAACATAACTTCGAAAAATAAACAAAAAGTATAAAAACTGAGGACATTTATGACATTAGTAGCATTCCCGTTGTGGTGTTTGTTGACTTTCTTCTGAAGTCTTTTGAAGAGAAATTATCTAGTCACTGTCAAATATTAAGTCACTAGACATTTCTCATCAAAAGCTGCAGCAAAAATTAGATCCTCTGACCAGTTGGAATGCATCTCCTCTGCAGTATGTTGCTGACTTGTCACTTTTGCCTCCTTAGCATGTGCTACTTTGCACAAGTTAACTTATGTTATTTTATAATAGAACATATTTAAAGGAATGTAATGAATAAGAGTAATAGTAATAGTATATTAACACTGTTATGAAGATCACACATTTTGGAAGTAATGCAGACAAATGAAACTAAACAATTTAGTAAAAATAAATTTGATTCTATTCACACTACATATTCAAGATAGAAGTGTGTTAGAATATAATTTATTTGCTGAAGAATACATTTTTTCCAATAAGAGTGATCATTTTAAGAAATTAAAAATTCTTCATATTCTTGTGCAAAACTTTATTTGCTTTACCATTATGTAATCATTAATCTTAAGGTTTAAAATACTATTAACAATATTTCACATTGTTTCATAGAGATGTAACCAAGTACACAAAATTATATGTCAACCTATGTAAATTCCACTACCCCTCAAATACATGTGAGAAAATATAACTTTCTCTTTTGTAACAGGTATCACATAAAATATTTCATTGAATGCTAATGAAGTTCAACAGTTTTCCATTTCTGATAACTTGCTCTATAATTAATAATTAAAGTTAATTTTTAAATACTTTGGAAATTATATTACATTTTTCTAATTATTATTGCTCTTTATAATGGTAATACTAACCATTTGATATCCAGTTGCTGTTGTATATTTACTGTAAGGCATTTGACATTTACATAAAGTTTAGTTCCCCATTCATTATTCGTATCCTGGTCTTCATGAGCAGACTAATGCTGTAGATGCAACACATCAGCACAGGTTCAGATCGTTGGGCAACCGGTGACTGTTTATAGCACGTCAACCAATTGTCAACGTCCTGCATCTGCACAATGCTTTAGGAAACAGCTTCCAATTATTGGCACATAAGATACCTCAATGCCAAAGAAGCTGAACTATGACAACAAATTCAAAGAGTATCATTTGATATTATTTGATTGTTTTCTATTTGGTTGTGAATTTGTAGTCATCTTCTAGCTACAAAACATTAGTTGAAATACCATTGAAAATTGCAATAGATTGTCAAGGAATGGAAATTAAACAAGTAAAGATGGTAATAGAAAGAGAGGTAATAGAAAAAGTGGTAAAATTGCATAATCTCAGCAACAATATTGGACAAAATGGAAAAGTTCTGGAAATTAAAATCCAGAAATATAATACATCTAATGTAATAATTATTAAGAATTTTGGGAGAGAAACAGAAGACAAAATTGTGAATACATAACACAACATGTGTGACTATGTGTCTATTCCATCAAAAACTTTAAAAAGTATTGTAGCATAAAACTTTCAGAAAAAAGTTAGCACATGTTAAGAAAATGAAACAGTTCCAAAACCAGCTTTAATTTACAAATCCACAGGACAAATGTATATTGGAAGACCAAAGAAAAAATGTAGAGGACATGAATACTTGGAAGTATAAACCATCAGAACTGCTGCTCAAACAGGAACAGGCACTAGATGTAATGTGAGTAGCAGTCTGCAATTGAAGCCGAAGGAGATGATGAATACCATTGAGTAAAATAATATTAAAAATAATAAAGTTTTCATTTCAATTGTATTGCATACTCTCATAAAAAAGAAAAGAAAAGTTAATAAAAGTTTCAGAATGAATTTTGAAATGTCGTGTTTTCTCCATTATAAACTCTCATCATTTCTTTGTAGGAGAGATCTGGGCTAAGTTATCATTTAATCTTCAATTTCATTTATTGCAAAGGAAATAAAGTAATATACACATACAAACCACACAGATATATATATATATATATATATAATAATATATATATATATATTATATATATATATTAATATAATATATATATTATATAATATATATATATAGTATATTATATATATAATATTTTTGCAACACATCAGTACCCATTCAAATGTGTATTATTTAACAAAAATCTACAACCCCCCCCCCCCAATATGATCAACTGGAACGAACGATTCATGCCAATGATTCCAGCAAGACGAAAATTTTGGTTTCATCCAATTGGGAAATTGAACATCTCCATAGTGACGTCACTGTAGCTACGCCGATTGGATGAAACCGCAACAGCTGATTTACTTTATATGCGTGACACATGATCATGATGTGACGCTTTCATCCAATCGGGAGCTTAAACGTTACTAGTGACGTTCAAGTTCTCGATTGGATGTTAGCGTCACAGCTGACGAAGTGTCAGCGGACCTCGAGATTTAATAGAAGCGTTCTCCGAGGGAGAAGGGCCCACTCCCCCCTTTTTAGCACCCATGCGACCCAACCCAAGCAAATAGCGATTCTTCCTGCATCACGATGGAGGAAAATACCCTGCACCTATGATATGCACTGACTGTCTCCGATTTAAACATAGTGGCCCTTCAAGGTCACAAGGTGGAAGGAGAAAGGGACATTGTCATCGAACCGAGTGCTCCAGTACCAACCAATTAACTCGTAACGAAGCTCCGGATTGGACGACAGTGCCCCTGTCTGACTCGTGGCCTTAAAGTAGCACTTGGTTTAAAATGAGCTGCTCGTCGCCGAGCACTGTGGATGTCGATGGCGAGGAAAGGGACCTCTCACCAATAGAGCGTTCGCGTGGTCGCGGAGCCACACGTTCGCTTTAAACATAAAGATGGACTCACCGTTCGTCGAGGGGGCGGGGCCCAACAATCTCAGCAAGACGAGTCGACAGCGCGGGGCCCAGCCGCTCACCCAGGCCGGCGATGGCGCTCGCCGTACCGTGATCTCGCTCACGGCGTGTGCACGGCCGGAGGCGTTCCACACTGAATCTGCGGCGCCGGCCCCTCGGCCGCGTTCCCTCTGCTCCCCCCGAGGCCAGCTACCCGTACGCGTCGTAGGGGAGGCTGGCCCCTTCTCGCGGCGATGATGTACGCGTGTCGGACTGTTG